ACGGTAGTACTTCACGTTCCGGATTTTGTATTGCTGAAAGCTGGCTTGACAGCAAAAACACTAAAATAAAAGTCAGGTTGTCAACTCACGGAAATCTTCAATTAGCCAAGCACAAGAGTTAAGTGAAACACAAGCAATCGGAAAGAAACTGACTGATGGTACGGTTCGGTGCTCATGTAATCAATGTAATTGCAATAATTGACTCTTCAGGATTGGTAATTTATCGCATTCGTGTCACAAGCAACCAACAAGTTGTTTAGGCATTACAATTGCGAAAATAATTGGAAAACGTGATCAAAACATTATGTTCATGTTAAAGTTAATCAAAAATAATGTAAATGTTAATTGTGTTTTAACATTTACATCTAATTTTTGAATTTGTTTATGTGAGCATTAATTTATGCACATATTGCATAAAATATTTGTTTTGTGCCTCATTCAAAATGCATAAATAATTATTTATGATTAAATGATTGTTTATACGACAACCGCTTCTTTCATCATCACGTATGGCGATAACCTGAAGGCTGTCTTAACTCATCTACCTCAAGATTTCAGTTTTCTTTGATGTCGCAAGAATTAAAAGGAATTACACACGGTTATTGATGACTCTACATGCGGTATTGCCTACATTGCTGAAGTTGCTCAAGAATAAACGCATGCGTCTATATGACTCTAAGATAAAGCATTACAAGAACAACTGCACGAAAATGGAAAGGTGCAAAGGTTAGGAAAGAATCAAACGATTGCTTATGCTGAGAATGATCATGCAATTTGTGCATTTGTGCACTGGATTTTTCTCAAACGAGATCATGAACTGTAAATTGTGTACGGTAGAGAGTGAAATGAGTGTGAATTGAGAGTGCGCACGTACGAGCCCATTCGCCAAAGCGTTTCACCGTCGACTCTTCGTGACCGGCGAGCAGGTAAGGCGCGAGGTGGCCGCGAACTGTCTGCAGGAGCACCACGAGTGTGTCCTTCAAGAAACAGAGCAGACACCATGCGCCGAGGAAGGCGAGAGCGATGGTGACCACATCGCACGCCACTGAGACCATGATCTCTCACTTCTTTCCGATTTTACCAACTTTTGCAGTAGAAATATCTGAAAAACTAAAAAAAAAAATATTAAGTAAAACATTAAAATATTTTAATATGTTACGGATTTTTTGAACCAATTTGATAAAAGAGCAGATATTTGATATTGTTGATCAAATTTCAATGCGAGAATTTAAATAAATCAAGCATGACCATTTGGAATGTCAATGGAAACATAAACATCAATGTTTAAGAGAGCGCTAAGTAAATCTACAGAAAAATTCAATGGTTAAATGTCAAGTTATTAAAAATTATCATCTATATTAATAAAAATTTTAAAAATGCGTAAAAGTTATTAAAACTAGGTTAAAAAATGGCGATGTCAAGGTGGTGGTCGATAAGTTACGGTAATTGATTCTTAGGTATATTATTTTATGAGTACTACTGACTGCACTCTAGTGTTACTTATTATTACGCGTTTACGCATTGCGACATTAATTAGCAGTTTTGTTAAGCAATTCGAGTTATCTGTAAATATTACAGGCATTAGTGCGTATTCAAATGAAAAAATCTTTTGGTTATGATTTATTAGCAAATAGAAATTATTGCTAATATTATAAATATGAAAGGTGCGTTTGTTTGTTCCGCTTTCACGCAAAAACTACTGAATCAATTTTGATAAATTTTAGAGTATTGGTAGATTTGACATAGGAAAAGCAAGTGGGGTACTTATTATTACAAATATATA